ATGCTGGCTCAGGAATTCTGGGAGTTGAAGTCCACGAGTCATCAAGAGAGCCATAGTTCCCCCATGCTGGCTCAGGAATTCTGGGAGTTGAAGTCCACGAGTCATAAAAGTCCCAAGGTTGCCTGTTCTATACTATTTCTGCCATGTGGCCAAATAACTCACCACTTCAAAGCAGTGTGTGTGTGTGGGGGGGGGCATCATTAGGTTCTCTGCCGGAGGACTCAAAATATCCTGGGCAGCCCAGAGTCAACTGGCATTTCCAAAAATAAATAAAATCAAATAAACGCATTTTCTAACATTTCTCAATACTTTGTCTAACTTCCAAAACAGGACTGCTGTTCCGTCAGAAGTTCAGGAAACAAGGTTTGGGATGTGTTTTTAATTAAAATGCACGTCTTTTTTTTTTAAATTTGTTATTTTTAAGAACGCCTTCTGTTTTAATTTTTGTGCTTTGCCCTTTTTAATGAAACCATCTCTTTAAGTTTGGGCATGAGTGTTGCTTTTAAAAGATTACAATCTCGTACCCTGAGTTAAGAACCAAGATATAATAATAATAATAGTAAAGTTGGAAGGGACCTTTGAGGTCATCTAGTCCAACCCCCTGCTCAGGCAGGAAACCCTATACCATTTCGGACAAATGGCTGTCCAGTCTCTTCTTAAAAACCTCCAGTGTTGGAGCATTCACCGCTTCTGGAGGCAGGTTGTTCCACTGGTTAATTGTTCTCACTGTCAGGAAGTTTCTCCTTAGTTCTAGGTTGCATCTCTCCTTGCTTAGTTTCCACCCGTTGCTTCTTGTCCTGCCTTCAAATGACTAGATGTCCTCCAAGGTCCCTTCCAACTTCATCATCATCATCATCATCATCATCATCATCATCATCATCATTATTATTATTATTATTATTATTATTATTATTATTATTATTATTATTATTATTATTATTATTTTCAGGGAAACATAGTAGTAGCTTGTGGTCTGGAAGTATTAACTCCGCCTAACTTTCTCCCTCTCTCTCCAACTCCTAGTATGTCATGAATCAGGATGGAGAGACAGAGGGAGCTGAAGAAACCCCTCCACCTGATAAGAGACCCTCCAACCACCATATACGTTCTTTTCCTGGCCTTCCGATCTTGTAAACATCTCGTCTTCTGGTCCATCAGAAGGAGCAACTTGCCGTTTCTCCATCACCCGAGGCAAAGTCAGCTTGTGAGACTCCATCCCACCACAAAGTTTGCCAACGAAGGAGTCCTTCCAGGAAAGGCACTGAGCCCTTGAGTTTCCAGAGAGATTCTGCATCTAGTCGAGAAAACGGAGATCTGGACGTTTACACGGCAAGGCTTTTCCTGCAGTTGCTGCAAGTCAGAAAGCGGCATAGCAACGCCAGCCTGGAAAGCACATTTTGCGTGCCAGATAATTGTAAAAAGAGATGTTTGCCTCATGCGTCGCTCTGTCCCGAACAGCTTAAGCCTTCTTCTGCTTTCAGAGGTGGTTTGCCTAGGCCTGTTCCGACAGACACGGAAAGCCGATCCCTCCTTAACCCTCGAATTGTGGGGAGGGGCTCATGCTGAGACCCCCTCCGGCAAATTATGTGAAATAGAACATTGATCCAAGCTTTCCTTTCGAAGGATTCTCTCTCTCTCTGCATCCTAAAATTCCCCAGAAGTAAAGAATGTCCTTCAACCGTCAGCGTCAAAATGCAATTAGGGCTTTGATTGTTTTTACGACACCGGACAATCACCCTCTCCCCTTTTGTATCCGGATGGGATAGAAATTGCAAACACACCAAGATTTCCTAGAACAAGCAAAAAAAAACAGGAAAGGAAGCAGGCTTTCACCAGCCCGAGTCACAACGTGCAAACATTAAAAACAAGATGCACGGTTTTTCCTTGAGTTTTCGGTACTGCCTTTCTTTCCAGCACAATAAACGTGAGGAGGGCTATCCAGTGGGAATAAAAACATGGACAAAGTGATTTAGTGGGAGAGGCCTGGAATGAGGAGCTTAGTGATCAGATCTGGACTCAGTTTGGGGACACACAGATCCCTCCCTCCCTTAAAATAGGATCTGGAAATCTTTTTTCTTGCCTACATCTCTTGGAATGTTAACAATATCGGTCCAGCCTCCACCTGTTGTTCAGCACTGCAGGAAATTGCGGTAGGATTCTTGGCGCAGCTTCTCACCGAAATGTTATTTCAATCCAGGAAGTTACAAAAAGGTACTTAACTGTAAGGCAAAGAAAAGTTAACAGCAGAAGCCAACCGAAGGAGAATTCCCTCGTGGTTGCAAACAGGAAAATATCACCTCTCTTTTATTAGGAGGCCATCCTGTGTGTGCTGGTCCATTCATGCGCAATCGTTGAACATTACAAAAAAGGAGAGAGAGAGAAAAGACTTCACAATCCACTGTACACATTTTCAGAATTGCTTTCTCTTTTAACGCCTTGTAAATAAGCAGCAAAACAACGTTGGGGACAAATTGGAACTGTTAAAAAAAGTCGCTTGGATCAACGGCAAAAGAGCCCAGACAATTTCTGAAGCGGTTTTAGGTCGCTGCTCTGTTTAGCCAGGACTGCATCATCCATCTGAAAAGGACCGTTTTTTTGAGGGGGATGGCGGATACAGAGAAAGGGGATTTCCTCACTGGAGGAAACCCACCTGGTGGGAAATGCCGGGGATTATAAGTTAGGATTTGGTCCCAAAGGTGCTTTTTTCAGGAAGCAACTGGACGTTCTTGTTTTGCCTTTGAAGACGTTTTGCTTCTCCTGCAGGAAGCTTCTTCCGCTCTGACTGGAAGGTAGGGAATGGAAGGATTTATACTCCTTGCAGACAGCTGGTCATTTGCATTCTTTTAGAGGGTCGTTGAGGCCACTTGGAGGTTTATCTGTGTCTTCAGGATCACCTGAGTGGTGCAAATGGGTGTGGAGCCTTCATGGAACTGTTGAAAGGACTGTGTTGTGCACTGGAGATAGATGGTGTTGTTAGCAGTTCCAAACAAGGCTCCAGACCCATTTGCACCAGTAAGGTGACCTTGAGGGCACAGAGATAAACCTCCAGGTGGCCTCAACGACTCTCTAAAAGAAGGCAAATGACCAGCCGTCTGCAAGGAGTATAAATCCTTCCCTTCCCCACCATCCATTCAGAGCCGAAGAAGCTTCTTGGAGGAGAAGCGAAACATCTTCAGAGAAAAAACAAGAAAGTCCAGTTGCCTTTTGCAAAAGCATCTTTGGGACAGCCACGATCTGGATGACTCAGAGCTAGGACCATGTATGCGCAAAGCGAGTGTTGTGTTGTTCACAGAGAACGTATCACGGTATGTTTGGAAACCCAGCCCTGCAGAAGCATTTTAAGGGAACCTGCGATTTCCCCATTATTATTATTTTTATCGTTTTACAGGATATTTCGCCTGTCTTCTGTGCATGCAACTTGCTGTCCGTTTAGTTTTTGGAAGTATGGAAGGACCTTGGAATTGTAGGGATTAGAATGGGAGAAGGATTGGAAAGGACTAGGACGGGGGGTAGGCAACCTGGGCTCTTTTATGACTCATGGACTTCAACTCCCAGAATTCCTGACTCAGGAATTCTGGGAGTTGAAGTCCATGAGTCATAAAAGAGCCCAGGTTGCCTACCCCTGGACTAGGAGTTGGCAGCCTTCCAGATGTTGAGTTGCATCTCTCTCATCAACCCTGTTATTAGCCATCCTGGCTAGAGTTGATGGGAGTTGCTGGTCCAACGTCCACTGGGATGAAGGCTTAAGGCCCTCCCCTTCTTCTGTCTGAACAGAGATGGAAATAAAAACTGGTCCAGTAGCTGTTTTCTACTTACTTCTCTGCGAATTAGTCACAGATAAGCCAACATCTGAAGTCAAACAATAATCTAAATGAGTGTTAAAAGTTTTTATTTCTCCACTGGCCTAGGGTTGAGCAGGGCTGTCTCAAAGGTTACGATTTTGAGCAGGAAATGCCCAGTTTCAACACGAAAAATACAATGTCGTCCAATTAATGGAGCTTCCTTGAAGACGTAAACACGGAGGAAGAATTTTTCTGGACCATTTTTTTCAAGGCAAATATAGAAGCCCCTGGTTTAAAATTGCCCTGAAGGGGATTTAGGTAAGGAAATGTCCACAGGTTGTGCTTAGGGTTTGTGGGTATGTGTGTGTGGGTGTTCAAATTCGGATCGCAACTCAATCCAGCTTGAGTTGGATTCAAATTCCTGAGCGATTTGGGACCGTCTACAATTCCCAGGATCTTGTCGGCGTCTTCTCCAATTAAAGCCCAAATGGAAATAACTGAAAACGTTATACATTCAGGAAAATGGTTATTAAAAGACACGTAATTACAGAAAAATGCTTCTGATAAGATCATGTACACCAAATGCAAGTGCTTAACAATTCAGAAATGGACTTGAAAGAGTTGGAACGTGATAAAAAGCCAATTCAATCCTAAATTGCGTTAACAAAGGGATTCAGTCAAGATCACATGAGGCACTAATACCACTCTATAAAGCCTTAGTAATAGTAAAACCTAGAATAACGGCATCCAGTTTTGGTCACCACATTGTAAAAAAGATGTTGAGACTCTAGAAAGTGCTGAGAAGAGCAACAAAGATGATCAGGGGACTGGAGGCTAAAACATGATAAAGAACAGTTGCTGGAATTGGGTATGTCTAGTTTAATGAAGAGAAGGACGAGGGGTGACAATATCTCAGGGGCTGCCACAAAGAAGAGGGGGTCAACCTATTCTCCGAAGCACCTGAAGGCAGGAGAAGAAGCAACGGATGGAAACTAATCAAAGAGAGAAGCAACCTGGAATTAAGGAGAAATTTCCTGACAGTGAGGACAATTAACCAGTGGAACCACCTACCTCCAGAAGCTATGAATGCTCCAACACTGGAAGTTTTTAAGAAGAGACTGGACAGCCATTTGTCTGAAATGGCATAGGGTTTCCTGCTTGAGCAGGGGGTTGGACTAGTAGACCTCCAAGGTCCCTTCCAACTCCTATTCTATTCTATTCTATTCTATTCTATTCTATTCTATTCTATTCTATTCTATTCTATTCTATTCTGTTCTCCATTCCATATTCTATTCTATTCTATTCTATTCTATTCTATTCTATTCCATATTTTCTATTCCTATTCCTATTCTATTCTATTGTATTCTATTCTATTGTATTCTATTCTATTCTATTCTATTCTATTCTATTCTATTCTATTCTATTCTATTCTATCCTAAACTTCTCAGTCTAATTTTACAGCCCTGGGATTTTTGAGTGATATGCATCCATCTACCAGATACTTACTGTACAACATCAAGCAAAGGTGATGGAGGTCCACCAAGTGATAGTTCGGAGATTGGGACGGTATCTTTTATCCCTTGTAAAAGTTTGTGGAAAGACTCTCCTGAGCCTGAGATATGTCTTGCTCTACGCTGAAATTTGGTAGCTGTCAGCCATGATACAAGAAAAGAAGAAACAATAGACTTTTGACTCTAATCAGCTGACGTCAGGCTGTCTTCTCCAGCTGTTTTGGTACCTGGCTTTTGGGAGACATCTGCATGGCCTGATCGAGGAGATGTCCACACCGGTTGGTCAAAAAGTCAAGACGGCAGCTATGAAGATTCATAGAATTTTAGAACTGAAGGTGACCTTGGAGGTCATCTAGCCCAACCCCCTGCTCAAACAAGAGACCTTATATCATTCTAGACAAATGGCTGTCCAGTCTCTTCTTTAAAAAATCTCCATTGTTGGAGCATGCACCACTTCTGGAGGCAAGCAGTTCCACTGATTAATTGTTCTCGCTGCCAGGAAATTTCTCATTATTTCCAGTGTGGCTCTCCCACTGGAGCTTCTTCTGGTTTTAGATCGGTTACGCTGCCAAAATTATCTTGACTTTTCTGACAAGCATCTGGGGACATCCCAGCTTATCGTTTTAAATATTTACACAGCCTCCTCTCTTAAATCCCAATCCAGCTTCACAAAAACCCAACCTTCGAAAATTTTAACGATTTGCAAATGTATGTTTTTGTAGAAAACATGGATAGAACATGCATGGAACAATTAACCAGTGGAACAACCTGCCACCAGAAGCTGTGAATGCTCCAACGCTGGAAGTTTTAAAGAAGAGACTGGACAGCCATTTGTCCGAAATGGTGTAGGGCAGGGGTAGGCAACCTTGGCTCTTTTATGACTCATGGACTTCAACTCCCAGAATTCCTGAGCCTGCTATGCTGGCTCAGGAATTCTGGGAGTTGAAGTCCACGAGTCATAAAAGAGCCAAGGTTGCCTACCCCGGGTATAGGGGTTCCTGCCTGAGCAGGGGGTTGGACTAGATGACCTCCAAGGTCCCTTCCAACTCTATTATTCTGTTCTTTTGTGTGACTTCCTTGTTAGAATTCCTGTTTGCTGTTCTCTCTCTGAAAGTTAGTTAATTCAAAGTGCAGTTATGGCCTCTACCTAGTGTCAGTTTGATTGTTGCGATGTGGGTGCACAGAAGGAACAAAATAAAAAAACCACCAATTATCCCAAATTCACCACTTACTTGTTTTTTTTTTAGTCAGGAGTCTAAAAAAAAGGTAGTCCTTGACTTAACAATTGTTCGTTTAGCGACTGAAATTACAACAACACTGGAAGAAAAATGACTTACGACCGATTATCGTATGTACAGCATCCACACAAGTTAACATGATCAACATTTGGGTGCTTGTCAACCTGCATGTATTTACGATTGGTTGCAGCATCCTGGGACCCTCTTCCCAGGCAGCTTCTGACAAGCCAAATCACCGGAGGAAGCAGGATTTATTTAATAACTGTGGCAAAAAATATATATCATAAAATCAGTTGCGATTCACTGCTCAGCTGCCTTGCTCAGCACAATTATTTGGGTTCTAATTGTCATGGGGTATCTGTGGTATGATCAGATAGGAGAAAGAATATCCAGATTTTTGCCTTGAAGTAGCCAGCCTTTTTTTTATTTTTATTTTTTGCAGAAACAAGCTGGAATTGGTCTATGGAGATACTCAATCATCCAGGTCATGGTTGTTCCAAAGGTGTTTTTATTTTTCCAGAGGCAACTGGACTTCCTTGTTTTTTCTTTGAAGACGTTTCGCTTCTCATCCAAGAAGCTTCTTCAGCTCTGACTGGATGGTGGGGAAGGGAAGGATTTATACTCCTTGCAGATAGCTGGTCATTTGCATTCTTTTAGAGCAGACATGTCAAACACGGCCCGCGAAGTGGTTTCATGTGGCCCGTGAAGCCATCCTGGAAACAGTGAGGAAACGGCCCCCGCTGCCTTGGCCCCGGCCCAGGATTCCCGGGAGCCAATGTACAATTTTGTGGTGGCCATCTTGGCACTTGCCCCAGTGGACCATGCCTTGGCGCTTGCCCCGGTCCCACCCCCTTCTGCCAGAGACCCTCAGATCTGTCCCACTCCTGCCCAGGCCTCCACAGGCCCCCTTGACACGAACAATGTAGAGCTGGCCATGCCCACCCAGTAGGCCACACCCACTCCATCCACGCCCACCCACTAGGCTGCACCCACTCTGGCCACACCCACCTGGCCCCCCAAGAGCAACTGCCATGCTGATGCGGCCCTCAGTGAAATTGAGTTTGACATCCCTGTTTTAGAGGGTCGTTGAGGCCCCTTGGAGGATTGTCTGTTTCCTCAGGGTCACCTGAGTGCTGCAAATGTGTGTGGAGCCTTCTTGGCTGCAGACTCCACACCCACTTGCACCACTCAGGTGACCCTGAGAACACAGATAAGGCTCCAAGTGGCCTCAACGACTCTCTAAAAGGATGCAAATGACCAGCGGTCTGCAAGGAGTGTAAATCCCTCCCTTCCCCACCATCCAGTCAGAGCTGAAGAAGCTTCTGGGATGAGAAGCAAAATGTCTTCAAAGAAAAAACGAGAAAGTCCAGTTGCCTCCTGAAAAAAAAAAAGCACCTTTGGGACAAGCTGGAATTGGAACACAATAGGAACATGTAAGACGAACAAAAGAAAAAAGAAAAAAAAGGAACACTTGACAGTTGCGATTGTGCTGTTGTGCAAGGAACAGAAGAGACCCCTTTGTTTTGCCTTGTTTCTGTCGGAAATAATTATTTTACATTACCCTGTGATAAAGAGGGTCTGTTTGGAGCATTCGGATACACAGAAGAGGAGTTTCAGGCACTTAAGACACGGGTGCTTGTGACCATCAACATGGCTTACTATGGGGTGCGTTTTGTGCAGCGGGGATTGTGTGTTGCTTGTGGGTTTGAAGTTCGTATACAAAGGTGTCCTTGGAACAAGCAGTTGGGTGTTCAGGTAGTCCTTGGACTTAACGACCAGCCACTTAATGGCCGTGAGTAGCTTGTGGGTTTGAACTTCATATACAAAACTTTCCTTGGAACAAGCAGTTGGGTGTTCAGGTAGTCCTCGGACCTACGACCAGCCACTTAATGGCCATGTGTTGCTTGTAGGTTTGAAGTTCGTATACAAAGCTCTCCTTGACACAAACAGGTTTGAACTTTATATACACAGCTCTCCTTCGTACAAGCAGTTGTGTGTATAGGTAGTCCCTGACTTACGACCTTAATGACCAACGGACCTCCCCAGAGCTACTTATGACTCAGTTTCGGGGTTCTGATATAAAAGGAAAATCTTAACAGATTCCACCAATTTCAAACTTATCCAAATTAAGTCTTATATTCTTTTGATTTCAATATATTTCTGTTCCCCCTGAAAGGCTTAATTCACCGCTTCCGTCTGCAGGAGGGTGGGGCAACGGTCCCCCACCTTCTTACTTTTGGAGGCTTTTTGCTTCTTGGGTTTTTTTCTTCTTCCAGGAAATCAATTTCCAAATAGAAGAGAGAAAATCGCTGTTCTTACCCAGTTCCAAACCCGTTGTTTACAGTCAGCTTCAAGTAGTACTTTTGGACTTCGGTTGCTTGGGCTAGATTGGGAAGTTAAGCTAGCCTTTCTCCTGCCGATTTCTGGAGGGCTTTTTCCAAATCGATCGGATCGACTGTCATCTCTGTGCAATCGGCGGGACTTCCCCCCCTTCTATGTTGCCTCTACGGGGCAACTTCAGGCCCATTTGGGGTCCCCTGGCAGGCAGAAATCAGCCGTAGGGTGTGGAGCCCCGTGATCCCTCGGCTGCTGCACTACTGCGCAAAACCGGAAATCTCAGTTACGGGGTTCTGACAGCCGCCTCCACCACTCCCCCTAGTGGCCACACGATCACATTTTGGGCCTTTGGCAACTGGCCCACATTTACGTCCGTTTGCAGCATCTCATGATAGCTGACCACAACTTTTAGCATTGTTTTGTTTGCGGGAAACTAGTATTTACTTCCAGTTTCCGGCAAACCCCCCTCCCACCCAAAAAAACCCCTGCCCACTGGGTTGGTTTAGTGACCGCCACATTTGCTTAACGACTGCCAGAAAATTCATAGAATTGGGCATGGTCCTGCAGGGACCCACTTAATGACCGCCACAGCTTACAAGCGCAGTTTCTGGCTGAATTTGTGGCAGTAAGTCGAGGACCGGCAGCGCCATCTCCTTCAATGAGCGATTGATTTTGTTTATTCGATTTATACGCCGCCCATCTGGTGGTTCCAAGCGGCTCTGAGTGGCTAATTAAGTTATTAATTCCAGAACGTTTCCAGAAATCACATCAGCTTCTGTCCTTTCACACCAGTGATTTAGGAGAGGCAAAGACTGTGGGTTGCTTCAAGGTCACCCAAGATGTTTCATGACCTCCCCAAGTCCTACTTTTGCTGTAGCAGCAAAAGAAAAACTGAGAGAAAGAAGGAGAGAGGGAGGGAAGGAGGGAGACAGAAAGAAAGGGAGAGAGAAGAGAGAAAGGAAAGAAAGAAAGGGAGAGATGGAGAGAGAATGAGAGAGAAAGAAAGATAGAAAGGGAGGGAGACAGAAAGAAAGGGGAAGGAAAAAGGGAGAGAAAGAAAAAGAAAGAGAAAAAAGAAAGAAAGAAAGAAAGGGACAGATAGGGAGAAAATGAGAGAGAAAGAAGGAGGGAGGGAGGGTGACAAAGGGAGAGAGGGAAAGAAAGAAAAAGAAAAGGGAGAGAGATAGAATGACAGAGAAAGGAAGGGAGAGAGAGAGAAAGATAGGGAGAAGGAGAGAGAGTTTGCAAAACATTCCCATGTTCTTTTTGGCTTTGGAGACTTGTTCACTGGTTTCATCTCTGTGTCAATGGAGAAATATGTACACATGTAAAATCCACATGTAAATACCCATGGGTTTTTGTACAGTTCCCTGTAATTATCAATGGAGCATGTCAAAATATCAAACTCTGATGCCAAGACAGGGTACAACACCCATGCATTCCCCCCCCCATTAAAGTGGATGTCTTCTGTTGGAAATACAACAGCTTGTATCGTTCATTAAGGCTATATTAAACATGTCTGTACTTAGTTGGCTTAACCTGTATAAGATAACCATCCCTAT